AAAAGAAGAGATCAAACTATTCATGAGGGCACTCCTTCGGTTAAACGCTCAAAACTTCAAAGGCTCACGTCTAGTTTTGAAAACCTTTCAATGAAAAATAGTGAGACTTTTGATGAATTTCATGCGAAGTTGAGTGACATTGTAAATTCATCTTCAATATAGGTGAAAAAATACTAGAATTCAAGGTTGTGGGAAAGATTTTGAGATCCTTGCCCGATCGGTTCCAATCAAAAGTTACGGCTATTAAGGAGGCTCAAGATGTTGATAACCTCAAGCTGGATCACTTGGTTGGAAATCTCAAATGTATGAGGCACATAGAAATTTCAAAAAGAAACCAAAAAATGATATTGCTTTTAGTATAACTCATACAAGGGAAATATAAATTCAAATTAATTCTATAACCCAGAAGAAAAAAGGAAAAATACAAGGGAACTCTGAAAGAGTCCAATGCTATGAATCCCAAGGATTTGGCCACTTTGCTCAAGAATGCCCTACTCGTTTAAGGAAGAAGAAAGCCTTCGCTATAGTGGGATGATGAATCAGAGTTTGATAGTGATGAAAGTGACAACGAAGCACAAGTCGAAGAGGGGCATGAACAATTCCTTGCTTTCATGGTGGCTTCCGAAACTGATGGACGAATAGAGTATCCAAAAAGCTTGATTGAGAATATCACTGATGATGAATCCAACCTAGAAACCAAAAGCAAGCAAAATCAGAAGATCAGGTTTGGGCTTTCAAGCTTGCGTATGAATGAAATTTATTTGAGACAAAAGTAGAATTTCCCTGACAATGCAAGCTTGCGTATTCAAAGATTAGAAATTACCTTCACAAAGAGCAAGCTTAACCTTTATTCCCTTGCAATGTTTGAAAGCAAAAAGCTCTTATATATCAATCTCTGCTAGAAGGATATCAATGGCCTGATAATCTTTCTGAAAAATTCAATTCTTCATAAAATCAAAATGGGGAAAAATAGAAACCTTAATATTCAACATAAAATAATCACAAAAAATTTAACTTCCCCTTCTTACAGGTAAAATAGAATTGGATTAGTTTCCACCTCACTATATGAACTTCATGAATCTATGATTGTTAAGTAGAGAGGCAAATCAAATCATCTCACATAAAACATATGTTTTGCAACTAAAAAATGGGAAAGACAATAATATAAGTTTTGTAATTAATTAAGGTACTTAGTACTGATAGTATACATTAAAAATGTTTCCTGTTTTTAAGAAAGATTCTCATAAAAAAGCACAAAACTACGCCTTCATATCTATTATTTCCTACAAACATGAAATTCAGAAACATCACTGTCCTATAGTATTGTTGATCATCCCAACCTATTAGTGATAAAATGAGTAGCCTATTGTTCACAATCAAGAATGATTAATACTCGGTCAAGCAATACAAGTAACAAGGAGTTTGATTTTGTGCTCTACTCTCTAGTAAAAACTATCCCATCTCTCTCCATTTCATGAACGCACAACTGAAGCATGGATACTCACCTCTTGCTATTCCATTCTTTCTCTTTGATGATACAGATTGCAGGAATACTCCAAGTCTCATTAGCATGGTCCATCAATGTAAGGGCTGTCATCGAAAAGTGCATTTACAAAGCCATTCATCTCAACTTCCCTTCACAAGAATAATATAGTTTAAATGATCGTTGTTCCTATTTATTGCTGACACTTAACATTAAAATTTCATCATTTGTTATTGATAATCAAAATGGAGGTCATAGTGTGGCCACCTGCTGCCTGTGTACATAGGGCCCTCCCATATCACACAATGTCAGACTAGTTTCAAAGATCCCCTGATCTTTAGTCAATATTATTACTAGAACAAGCAGAATGCTATAAGCCTTTTAGTCAATATTATTACTAGAACAAGCAGAACGCTATAAGCCTAATATCTAGTCACAAATAGTAATCCTCTATACACAAAATACAACTAAAATCCAACAAACAACAAAGATAATAAAACTTGAAGTCTTCAAAGTCTTCAACTTCATTCATAAAAAAAGCAAAGGAAATAAAGGTCCATAAAGTTTTTTAGAGAAACAGAGAATTTATCTATCACCACAACTAGAAGAAATTTTGTTAAGGAAAAGGCATGTGCAGTGTGCACCAAGAAGCATGAACATGAAACAGGAAAACTGGAGTGGAATTTAATTGAGATTCCATCAACAAATTATTATACAGCAAATTGCTTAAACAACGAAATTCTGAAATAAACAATCCACAAGCCAAAGTTATTTTAAAAACTAGAAACTAAAAAGCCATCTCATAATAGGACATGCATAACTGACAATACTTAAACAGCATAAAACTCAGCATATGAACAAGATTTTTGGACAAACCAAGCATTATTATACATTTGCTGTTCAACATTTACAAAAAGAAATTTTCAAGTGTTAACATTTCATCCCAAACATAGCAACCTAAAAACCAAAAGCAAGCAAAATCAGAAGATCAGATTTGGACTTTCAAGCTTGCGTATGAATGAAATTTATTTGAGACAAAAGTAGAATTTCCCTGACAATGCAAGCTTGCGTATTCAAAGATTAGAAATTACCTTCACAAAGAGCAAGCTTAACCTTTATTCCCTTGCAATGTTTGAAAGCAAAAAGCTCTTATATATCAATCTCTGCTAGAAGGATATCAATGGCCTGATAATCTTTCTGAAAAATTCAATTCTTCATAAAATCAAAATGGGGAAAAATAGAAACCTTAATATTCAACATAAAATAATCACAAAAAATTTAACTTCCCCTTCTTACAGGTAAAATAGAACTGGATTAGTTTCCACCTCACTATATGAACTTCATGAATCTATGATTGTTAAGTAGAGAGGCAAATCAAATCATCTCACATAAAACATATGTTTTGCAACCAAAAAATTGGGAAGACAATAATATAAATTTTGTAATTAATTAAGCTACCTAGTGCTGATAGTATACATTAAAAACGTTTCCTGTTTTTAAGAAAGATTCTCATAAAAAAGCACAAAACTACGCCTTCATATCTATTATTTCCTGCAAACATGAAATTCACGCACATTATTGTCCTATAGTACTGTTGATCATCCCAACCTGTTAGTGATAAATTGAATAGTCTATCGTTCACAATCAAGAATGATTAATACTCGGTCAAGCAATACAAGTAACAAGGAGTTTGATTTTGTACTCTACGCTCTAGTAAAAACTATCCCATCTCTCTCCATTTCATGAACGCACAACTGAAGCATGGATACTCAACTCTTGCTGTTCCATTCTTTCTCTTTGATGATACAGATTGCAGGAATACCCCAAGTGCATTTACAAAGCCATTCATCTCAGCTTCCCTTCACAAGAATAATATTGTTTAAATGATCGTTGTTCCTATTTATTGCTGACACTTAACATTAAAATTTCATCATTTGTTATTGATAATAACATTTTCTATTAGATTGTTGATCACTAATATATTGCTATATTAGATCATTTTGTCATTTTTTTTATTTATCAAAATGTGTTTATATGTTGATATCATATGATGTTCTTGATCTTTAACAATCCTAGCTTAGATTCTCCCCATACGTTATCATTACAGACTTGCCTCTAGCTACTTTCAAACTTCCCTATAGTATAACCTGGGCCAGTGAATATTGTTCATTTTACTCTTGAAGAAAATAAAATTATCTACAAGAAGATTCCACGTGCTAAAACTACAACAACAAAAAAATGACCTCTATTTATTTTGCAACCATCAAGAGATCCATAGGACACTAGTAGTCAATATATACCCTGTTATTAGGCCTGTTTGGTATAGCTTATAAGCTGTTTATTTCAGCTTTTAGCTTAATTTAAGCTAAAATATTGTGTTTGGTGCAACTTAAGTTAACCAACATATACCTTAAATCAAGCTATTTCTAAGCTTATCTCAAAAGCTGGTCAGGGAGGGCTTAAATTTTTTACTTAAGCGCGCAGCTGGTGTGGGAGGGCTAAAATTACTTAAATGCCCTCGTCAATTCCCAAATATTAATATTAATTAATATTAATATTTGGGTATTGACGAGGGCATTTAAGTAATTTTAGCCCCCCCACACCAGCTGCACGCTTAAGTAAAAAATTTAAGCACTCGCTGACCAGCTTTTGAGATAAGCCTAGAAATAGCTTGATTTAAGGTATATGTTGGTTAACTTAAGTTGCACCAAACACAATATTTTAGCTTAAATTAAGCTAAAAGCTGAAATAAACAGCTTATAAGCTATACCAAACAGGCCTAATAACAGGGTATATATTGACTACTAGTGTCCTATGGATCTCTTGATGGTTGCAAAATAAATAGAGGTCATTTTTTTGTTGTTGTAGTTTTAGCACGTGGAATCTTCTTGTAGATAATTTTATTTTCTTCATGAGTAAAATGAACAATATTCAGACTGCTAGTTAATTTAATGTCTTTTGCTCTCTGTTTCAGTGAAGTTTATGAATAAAATTATCTGCAAATTATTGGCTCATTCACTGGCCCAGGTTATACTATAGGGAAGTTTGAAAGTAGCTAGAGGCAGGTCTGTAATGATAACATATGTGGAGAATCTAAGCTAGAATTGTTAACGATCAAGAACATCATATGATATCAACATATAAACACATTTTGATAAATAAAAAAACAATGACAAAATGATCTAATATAGCAATATATTAGTGATCAACAATCTAATAGAAAATGTTATTATCAATAACAAATGATGAAATTTTAATGTTAAGTGTCAGCAATAAATAGGAACAGCGATTATTTAAACTATATTATTCTTGTGAAGGGAAGCTGAGATGAATGGCTTTGTAAATGCACTTTTCAATGACAACACTTACATTGATGGACCATGCTAATGAGACTTGGAGTATTCCTACAATCTGTATCATCAAAGAGAAAGAATGGAACAACAAGAGTTGAGTATCCATGCTTCAGTTGTGCGTTCATGAAATGGAGAGAGATGGGATAGTTTTTACTAGTGCGTTCATGCTTCAAAGTTTGTTTTGGACTTATGAGTTTCAATTTTGAATATATGCCTAATTTTCTTGCTTGTCATGCTACTCTTTCAATGTTGGTTTTCTTAACTTTCTTTTTCTTTCCACAGACTTCTGCAGCTCACAGTTGCACCTGTATGATCTGTATGTTTTTGCAACACCTTATAGGATTACCTAGGATTATTATTTCTCTGCCCAAGACCATACTTTGAAATTTGAATCTTGGGAGGAAAAAGCAGAGCTGGAATATGTATTATTGTGTTCATCATTTTTTTTTGTTTTATTCTTCTATAGAAATCTGTTATAAAATGTTGACTATCTGACTGACCATTGAGCAGGTAAAGCAGCATGGAATCTCTATATTTCTTATGCCATTAGGAATGCTGGGGACCTTGCTATCCTTAGTAGACGTCCTTTCCTTGTTGGCTTTTGGCTTTTTTATGAGTTGAAAAAAGGGTTTTTTTTAGTTGAATTAGTTGTGTGGAAAAAAGTGATTGGCTGATATGTATGATGTGACATTTTGAGTAATGAATTTTTGTATATATAATATTTCATCAATTTTATGTGTGTATTCAACGTGATTGTATAATCCAGTTTCGATTACGCAACTTCGTACGGCCTTACAAGGTATGCCATTCACTTTCTCTCCCAATCGATCAATTTCTCTTTGTCTCTCGATCATTTTTTCCCAAAAACTTTGAATTCATCATTTGATTTAAAGTCTATTCTCGAAGACGACATATGCTAGTTTAACTAGTCATAGGATTTGCTTTCACTTTGAATCAGAGCAGAGGTTTTGCTAGTTACAGTTGCTATCATGACTTAATGGTCATGCATGATTTTCAGTGGATTGTGTGGTTCAATGATAGAAGTGATGAGCATAGTATTTCAAGTTTTTTCACAACTAAATTAACAGTTGAGTTGTTTCAATTATGCCTCATCCAAATAGCTGCAATATCATATTCTAACTTTTGGCTACCCAAAATTGGGTCTAACCAACCATCCAACTAATGGAGGATATACCTAATGGCATATCCTATGACTAGTTAGAAGGAGAAAAATAAAATTTGGCACACCCACACACCATCTAGTGGTCAGAAATGGTTGGCCCTATAGCTTATCCCATTATTTACCTCATCCTAACTTAAACATTGAATAATATATATTCCTATCAGAGAAATTTAATATTGGAATTATCATATATTATTTTAAGGATTAGTTATCCCTCTATTCTTATTCAGATTAAATAAACACTCTAAAGAAGATAAATATAACAAAGAAAATGCTAATAGCAGCCCTTTGGCTTGTAAATAACAATAAAAAATGTATAAATAATGTGTAAAAATTATATTGAAATTTTAACTTTGTTGGCCTTTTCTTCTTCTAAAAGCATGACCCTATAGGCGTGGACATTGATTTTTCTGTGCAAATTTTCCCATGCTTTTAGCATTATTGAGAGAATAAACTATGGCACTTCTTTATCAGTCTCAGCTTTGAAAATGATTTCAGGTCAGAATGGTTACAAAGATATTTAAGATTACAAGGAAATGATACTAACTGATTATCTGTCACCATTTCATGAACAACTATTCTTTCTCTTTAGCTCTAATGATATGTCATACATCTTTGCACCCAAATCTTTTCCTTCTAGTTTTGAAAACTCTCTATTTTTTCCAAGTAGTTCAAGTAGCTCCAACTCCAAGAAAGTATATAAATGGTTGAGATATGCTGGTCTCAAAATGGCTTGTTGTTGTGTTATCTGCGGCAAGTGAAGATGGTGATGATGATGATAATTCAGTGACTGAGACTTGAGATGTTGACACCATGGTGTTTGATAAACAAGAAAGCTGATTGTTACAGCTAAGTGATGAGTGTTGCACTGCCAACAGCTGTGAAGGATGGTGATCATAATCATCTCTGGGCACTATTGGATCCCAAAACTTGTACGTGGACAGTTATTTCATAGTGTAGATCAAGTGATTTAAAACTCTGGATAAATGCATAATCAGATAGCAAAAAATTGCCATCTTTCATAGTGTAGATCATGTCGATAAATGAATCTTATGATTTGGATATTTTTTTTGATTTGTATGTCTGAGGTTGTTATCAGCTTGATATGATAGAAGTTGAGGATGAAAGTTAGTATGCAGGTTGTTTGGTGTATGGATATTGGATTTTTTTGCTTACTTCATAATTGTTGCTTTTGCTTGGTTTGTTAACAGTTGCATTTTATAAGTTATTATCTACATACTGTTAGGCAATGTTATATTCCTGTATATATATATATATATTATATATTAAACTTCTACGGCATATAAAATTATTTCATGAGAAGTGTAATGATTTATGACATGCAAGAAAATGCCGTAAAAGATTATATACGGCATACAAAATGTCATAAATATATTAAAAATGACATTATACGGCATACAAAATTATGTCGTGAAAAGTGATGATTTATGACATGCAAGAAAATGCCGTAAAATATTATATACGACATACAAAGTATGTCATAAATATATTAAAAATGACATTCTACGGCATACAAAATTATGTCGTGAAAAGTGTGATGATTTATGACATGCAAGAAAATGCCATAAAATATTATATACGGCATACAAAGTATGTCATAAATATATTAAAAATAACATTCTGCGACATGCAAAATTATGTCATGGAAAGTATGATGATTTATGGCATAACAAAAATGTCGTAAAAAATTATATACGACATACAAATTATGTCATTAATGTTTAATTTATTACTTTTTACAACTTTACCTGCATGTCGTAAATGATGCTTAACTTTCCACGGCATGTCATATAACGGCATTTGTGTGCATGTCGTGAAAGAATTTTTACGGCATGCATTGCAAGCCATAAAAATTGAATTTTGTTGTAGTATATATTTTGTGACATGATTTTTTGATCCTATCATATGAATACCAATGTCCGGTTGACTTAATTTTTGAAGTAGATATTCTTTTCCATCGACTCTCCCTAGCCACCATCTATCACCACCAGCTCCGACCACTCGTGTTTGCTTCTCCCAGTTTCTCATCACCTTCGGCAACCCATCCCCCACCTCTTTGCCACTTCTTAACCCCTTTTGACAACCTTTATGTCCTCCTGTCACTCGTGTCAACCCCTTTACAGAGAGAGACATCGATCATAATCTTTGCATGCCAATCACTACCTTCCAACTCAGTAGTCCTCTCCTACTGATGCGGATTGAATTTAAAAATCATATAATTTATTTGTATTATTTTACTTTTGATTAGGATTCAAGGTTTTAAAAACCGGACCGGTGAGCGAACCGGAAAAATGATCGGGTGGACGGGTCACCGGTTCAACCGGTGGGTTGAACCGGATCGAACCGTGACGTCATAATTATGTCATAAATAATTTAAAAAAATATATAAATTAATAATTTAAATATTAAATTTTCAATTTTTTTCAAAAAAATTCTTAAATATTTTTAGTGATGTTTTTCTATACTTAAAAAAGAAAATTCTTGAATATAAGCCATAACACTTCACATACTAACAACAAATAAAATTAAAGATGAAAATTTAGCCATTAAAAACAACAATCATAGCAATAAAAATTATGAAAGCATCCAACTAAAGCAATCCATAGGACATAAGTCCATAAGACATAAGTTACAAAAAAGACAAAACTAAGTCCAAAGTTTACAGACAACACAACATAACATCACAAACAATCTTCGATTTTTTCCTAAATCTCCTAGGGACGATAATTTAGCCAATCATCATCATCATTCTCATTCCCATTTGCACTAGAGCTCGGATTGTTTGATCTATTATCAATGTTCACGTCACCAAAAGATCCCAAGTCGATATCATCTCCAAGAAGTTCTACCTCCATATCATCCTCAACATCATCTACAATAATTAAAATAAAATCATTAAGCTGTCATTTTGATAATGATAGATAATAAAAAAAAAATGTTGCTTAATGATGAAACATTATTTTCTAACCATCTCGTAGACCATGACATTGCTTCTTATATCGTGGAGGCTCATCTTCTTCATAAAGAATTTTTTCAAGCTCATCATAATCAAGCAATGGAGGCTCCTCTTGTTCTAGTCTTTCTTCTTCAATAATCCAAAACTCGGTTTTGTCAATGCTTTCAATGTCAATGGGATCATAATTCCTTGTTTTGTAATACTTCCTATATTAATTCAATTGTAAGACTAAATAAATGAATAAAATAAAGAATCCATTAGTTACTATATGAGAAAGATTAATTTACCTATTCTTCAATCGCAAGTTGTAATGAACATACACGAGATCATTAAGCCTATGATGTTCTAGTCTATTCCTCTTCTTTGTATGTATGCGTTCAAAGACGCTCCAATTCCTTTCACACCCAGAAGAGCTGCTAGTTTGACTAAGAATTCGAATGGCTAACTTTTGCAAATTTGGAGCACTGTGTCCAAACATCTTCCACCATTCATCTTATTATCAAGAAAGAAAGAAAAATATTATAATGATAATTATAATGATAAAATATTCTAAACAAAATCAAATAATAATGATAATTACTATTAAAAAAGAGAGAGAGAGTGATTACCAGGTTGTGTTTTCTTAGATGTAGTAATGGCAAGCTCTCTTCCAAAACTATCTTGTCGATCTCGAAACAATCTAAGTTCATTCATGAGCTTCGTTTTACTTGATGTGGCTTTAGTTTCAATCACATCAAGTACACTATTCATAACCTCTGGCTTTTTGCAAAATGAAGCTTGATCATATTGAAAAGCTAGGTTCAACCAATAAGCTGCCGCATGTATATTCTTCCGCAATTGATTATCCCAACGAGTTTTAATGATTGTTGTGTAAGGCCTATACAACCTCTTATTTCTCTTGAAAATATCTTTAATACCTTTGATTGCCCTATACATGCCTTCATAAACATATCCCATGGACAGTTTGTCATCTCCATCAACAATACGCAAATGACGCATAAGTGGCTCAACAATCTTAACAATGATGAAGCAATCCTTCCAAAATTGTTTATCTAAAATGATATCAATGGCATCCTTTCCTTTCTTCTCTTTGGCAAACCTTGAACTTGCAAACTCCTTACTTGTCACCAAAGCTTGCAAATCATGCATATGCTCATAAATACTATGCAATGCAAGGAAAGTAGTGGCAAAGTGCGTTGTTCCTGGGCGCACAATTTTCAATCCAACTCTTCTTCTTTCTCAACCGAGCTAACAATCATGAACAATTGTATGTGTACCTTGTCACCGTTGATGCCTTAATAACAAGCACATACACATGATTTATCTTGGAAATTTCACTTAAGATTAAGTTCAAGCAATAAGCTGCACATGGAGACCAATTTATAGATTTGTAAGTTGCATTTACAAGTCCTCCAGCAGCTTTATAATTTGCTCCATTATCTGTCACCATATGAACAACATTCGACACTCCCACCCACTCAATAACCTCTAGAAACAATTTAGAAAGAAGAGTAGCATCTTTGACAGCATCAGAGGCATCAATTGATTTCACAAAAGCAATTCCCATAGGGCTATAGACAAGAAAATTTATTAGATTTCTTTGTCTAACATCAGTCCAACCATCACCCATAATAGTACATCCACAAGCAGCCCAAGAACTCTTGAAAGTGTGAATATACAATTGAAACTCTTTTTTTGAGTCTCCCAATAAAGGAACTCGAAGTTGATGGTAAGTAGGGACCTTATATCCTGGACCAATGGCAATTGCGGCATCAAACATGGGCTGAAAATAAATGGAGTTCACAGCATTGATTGGAATACAAGTATCATAAAAGAATTTGCCAACAATCATATGTGCTCTATGTATGGCTTCTTTAGTTTGGAGGGCACTTTTGATAGTTGGTTGAGAACTCGGAGTGGTCCTTGGTGCAAAATAATCACCGATTTTTGTTGGTTCATGTTTCTTCCCCTTCCCTTTATGTGTCATTGGTGCTCTACTCTTATTCCCACTTCCAGCTCCTTCATTGATCGAAATGCCCTTATTGTTCTGAGGAATTGTTCTCACAACCTCATCATCCTCATCATCAACATTAACATAAACATCATCACCCTCAAATTGAAAACCACCTGGACCATAA